ATCACTATCTAAGTGTGAAAAGAGAAAATATAAAGTATGAATTTATCATTTGTCCTAATTTGATAGTTATTTATATTGTATTATGATCGGTGCATGTATATCACCTAATTAATCAATATATGATTTTATTATAAAAAAATTTATGATTAGTTAAATTTTTATATAGACTATATTTAATCTAATGTATAAAAAATGAAAGTTCAAAATCATTGAAAGATTAAATTATTAGTGATTAATAAACCAATAACATACACACTATCTCAAGTTCAAGATCTAACTAGAAAAATTAAGAGATAAAATTTAGACATGATAGGTTGTGAACATCAATCTAAATTTTGAAAATAAAATACAATAATAAAAAATTAATTCAATAAACTTATTGAATTTATTTTTCTCCTAATATAAATATGTACATAGTACTTAAAAATATGGGTTTACCACATCTAACTATAAAGAGTAGAAGTCGAGTGAGTTTATTTAATGACCAAACTGTAGGGCGTTCGCATAAGAAACTGAGGCACTATACTCAATTATAAAACATTCTTTGAAGTCTTTTATTCATTAATTTGTTAGATCAATATGAAAATAATTATACGCAAACAATATAATCTATTTGTCTATATTTAATCATCATATATACATATAGTACTAAAAGAGTTATGTATAGATTATTAATTTTTATTAATATTGAAATATCAACTCACGATATAACTGAATTTTATTTGAAACTACTATAATAGCATACAAGTCTCATACATATGTATGGCTTATAAATCTCTTTTGTGCCATTCTTTAACCTAACAATGAGGAAAAGGAATACCACATGCGGCAAGAGCTTTTTTTGCTAAAGGAAGATACTGTTTGTATTCCGGATTTTTCAAGAAGGTACAAAGACAATCCTTCATTTCTTTTAGTGCATTACAACATTCTATGCTTGGTGGTTGACCCGAGATGACTGGTGCACATGGGAGTAACTTAACCGGATCACAAGCTACCGCCTCTGCTACAATAGGCGCTTCTCTCATCACCATTAATAGCATCACCATAAAGGCTGCTATAAGAAGTGATGAGCTCTTCATTTTTTCTCTATGTCCTTTATGTAACAAAACTAGAGAATATTGCAAGCTACGATTTTGGTTTTTGACTATAACCACAAATTTATAGATGAGATAGGAAGTCAAAAATGTTCTTTTGAGATATCTTCTTTTTTCTAAGAAGATTTTTTTTTTAAAACAAAAAAGAGAATAAGCAATCTTTGTTTGTTTGAGGATATTATTTTATGATTACAACAATGATTTCTTTTGACCATATCTAAGAAAAAAGTTACTTTTATATAATTCATTTAAAAAGTAACTTTATAGAAATAATAAAAATTAACTTTAGTATGGGAGTTATTTTATTTTATTTCTTTATGAATAAGATTGAATATTTATAAAACTAAGACTTAAAGAATGTTTTATCATCTTATTTTATAAGATCTTACATGTTGTATTTTTAATTGATGCATTTTTT